TATGTATATGTATATATATGTATATGTATATATATGTATATGTATATATATGTATATGTATATATATGTATATGTATATATATGTATATGTATATATATGTATATGTATATATATGTATATGTATATATATGTATATGTATATATATATATGTATATATATCATCATCATAAGAGGGCATACGCATGGCTGCGCTTTGCCGCGGCCAACCTTTGCCTCCATCTCCTGGGGTCCCTCCGAGCGAGCCCCAATGCAGCGTTCCTTCCCACTCCCAGTACATCTTGGCAGATCTGATCGACTTGCTTCAGCCATGAGTTCCGTGGCCTTCCCCTTGGTCTTCTCCAGCCTGGGTCAACCCTCTCGGAGATGACCCTATGAGCCGGATCTTCCTCAGGGAAACGAGCCACATGTCCATAGAGCTGAAGTTGGCGCTCTCGTAGCAGACTGGGTAATAGGTCTTGAATCAGTCTCATGGAGTATCCTCTGATTGGACACATGGTCCCTCCTGGTATACCCCATGATTCTGCGAAGACACTTAGTACCGAAGGAGTTAAGACGGGCTTTCAGAGCACTGTTCAGTGTCCAGGTCTCGCACCCGTAGAGCAAGACCGGGATCACCAGTGCTCTGAAGAGCCTGATCCTAGTTCTCCTAGTCAAATACCGACAGCGCCAAATACTCCTATTGAGTGAGTCCATAACGCCGTAGGCCAGTCCGAGTCGTCGAGTGACTTCCCGGTCGGAACCTCCGTCGCTCTGCACTACACTACCAAGATAAGTGAAGCTATCCAAGACCTCAATGTTCTCGCCACAGGCATGCACAGACTGAGCATCGACATCCAAAAAGTCCCCAAATTCCTGAACCTTGGTCTTGGTCCAGTTGACCGCGAGTCCCAATGGCTTTGCCTCCTCATGCAGTGCCTCGAGAGCTACTTCCAGGACCTTTAATGTCTCCGCTAGAATCACTGCATCATCGGCAAAGTCAAGGTCTGTGATCTTGAAATTACCAATTGATGCCCCACAGGAACTACGGTTCACGGTACGGCCAAATATCCAGTCCATACAAGTGTTGAAAAGGGTTGGGGCCAGGACACATCCCTGTCTCACCCCGGCACACACCGGGAAGAAGGCAGAGATGCCCTCCCCACACTTGACAGCACTCTCAGTATCTGTATACAGGCCAGACAGCAAACCAATAATTCCAGGGGGGGATCCCACGGAGACCCAGTAGGCTCCAGAGACTCTCCCGGTGCACTGAGTCGAAAGCCTTCTTGAGATCAACATAAGCTGCAAGCATACCCTGTTGAAACTCAAGTTGGCGTTCCCCAAAGACACGAAGTGCTAAGACACGGTCTATAGTTGACTTCTTGGGTGTAAAACCAGACTGCTCAGGTCTCTGTGCTCGTAATAGGTGGTCGCGCACTCGTGCCATAAGCAGATGAGCGAGGACCTTGCCTGGTACGCTGAGCAATGTAATACCTCTGTAGTTGCCACAGTCCTTTGGGTCCCCTTTCCCTTTCCAGATAGGGATGACCAAGCCCCTTTTCCAGTCAGGGGGAATGGTACCAGTCTCCCAAACGGCAGACAGGACTGCAAGCAAACCACAGATCATGGCCTCTCCACCTGCCTTCAACAACTCTGCAGCAATCCCACAGACACCAGCAGCCTTTCCACTTTTCAGCTTAGACACTGCCCTTCTCACCTCTTCGATGGAAGGTGGTGCCTCACTGATTGGTGGATCAGCCACTAGTGGCTGTGTACCAGCCAACAGGAGTTGTGAAGATGGGGGATCTACCCTATACAGTTGCTCAAAGTACTCAGCCCAGCGGGCCCTATACTCACCAGGCTCTGACACAATGCGACCATCCTCTGCTCTCACTGAGCTCGATTGAGAGATGGACTTTGATCGGAGTTCCCTCAGGGCTCGGAAAGCAGGTCGAAGGTCATTTTGAGCAAAATGACCTTCCAACTCTTCCACGATGCCCCTAACGTACCTCTCTTGGTCCACTCTCAAAGAGGCCCTAGCAGAGCGAGACAGCTCCCTGTGCAAGACATGGTTCCCATCCAGTCTGGCAGCACGACTCATCTCTATAGTGTTCAGTGTCTCGTCTGAGACAACACACCTTCGCCGAGGTCGGACACCAAGGCACTCCTCGGCAGCTGACAGAGTTCCTCGCTTAAAGGTATCCCACAGTTCAGCAGGGTCCTGTAGAGTGCCAAGCACTTCAAACCGATTTGAGACTGCCATTGCATACTCCTGAGCCACCTCCTCACTCTTGAGCCTCTCGAGATGAAACACCTGCTGGTGAGATCTCGGGATGCGTCTAGATCTGAGGCGGAGCCTTAGTGTTGCGACAACAAGTCTGTGGTCGGTAGCAAAGAACTCAGCACTCCTAAAAACTCTACAGTTTTGAAGGATCCTCCAGCGAGTATCCACGAGAATATGGTCAATCTCTTTAGCTACAACGCCAGTATTGGAGTACCAAGTCCAGTGGTGTAGATCT